CTAGGTTGTGCTCGTTCAATTTTTCTTTCTGATGCTATTTTCAGGTCCTTGTCATCCATCCTGAAAATGTGAGACAGGCCTCTGCTCTGACAGTGTTCAAGTCCAGGATAATGAGGGTTCTGTGCATAAAACTGAAGGACTTTATCTCTACTCTTTTTTATGCATTCTGGTTATTTATTATTTTAATGATTTTAATGTTGTAATTGTTTTAATTAATTGTGTGATCTCAATGTTTTTAGGTTTTTATTAACAATGTGATTTCAACGTCTATGTTTTCAAAGGTCTTTATGATTTGTGTGATGATTTTAGCCATGTGTGATGTGGACGGTGAAGCATTTTGTGTGTAGAAAAGCGCACTCTATAAATAAAGATGAGTTGATGGATTCACACAAAACAGATGCAAGAAAAGATCAGAATTTGTTAATCTTACAGTGGAAAAATGTACATATTTCATTTGGCATCAATAGGATCACTCAGGAAACAAACAGGAATTGTTAAAAAGTGAAAAAGAAGAAGATAATATCTTGCTTTTTTAAACATTGGATTTTTTTTAGCTGCGCAAGCAAAAACTAGCACGCCTGTTCCACTACATCATTTTGATCATGTTCTTGTGATTTCCATCATCACGCCTGCAGCCTGCTAATAACTGTGAATGTATGCAAACACAGACTTGTGCACTGGTGTGTGCTAAGCTCAACTACCTTCTCGCAAAGCAGGCAGTGAGCGGCGGCTTCTGAGTGGTGTTTTAAAGCAAAGGAAGCCAATCTAGCCTCGGCATCGCTCCATTACACTGTCAGTGAGGTGAGCAGGAGCCACGATGGAAATGGCGTGCCTCTATTCTGTAGGTCGCAGAGGACAGAGCAGTGCAACAGGCCCCTTCACGTCTGCTTTGTGTCTGTGTTTACTTTGGAACGTCCCACCATCCAACTCATTTCCTCCGTCAAGTAAACAGGAAGTGAGGAATGAAGAGCCCGACAGCAAGTCAACCAAAGTTATGAGATTTGAACCAAGGGCAGTCCTCACAACGGTTTTAATCGGAGGTGGCACATAAGCTAAATGTGAATATGGAAATATGCAGATGACGCAGCCCACTCAAGGACTGTTAATTAAAGAGAACAGCCAGACAAAAGCAGCTAATCACCAATATACTACAGGCACAGCACTGGGCAGCAAGCGCACAGACATAGCATGAGGCTGAACATAACAAAGGAAAACCAAAAAGCAAAATACAAGCTTTACACATCAAACACATGATATTTGTGCGGCACATCTATCTTCAGGACACTCAGGAGATCGTTTGATTTTTCTCTTTCTGGTAGATGCCTTTATCCAGCTATTTTACTGATAATTGAGTGACGCCTTTTGAAGTGAGCTACATTTTGATTCCAGCGTCTCTATTAAAGCCTTTTACATCCACCATTATCATATCACTTTTTAATCTACACTTATTTATCTATTATTATTTATTCTGACTTCACCTGCGTTCAGTGGTTCAAAACAATAGTTCCCCAATTGCTGGTCTATTCTCAACAGTTAAAGCATGACAATTTAACTGTCTTTCGTCTAAAACACTAAAACAGTCCAAGTTATACCCAGTCAGTCCGGGTCCTCTCCTGATCATGCGGTCTCCTCAGGGGCCATGGAGGAGCCAGTCAGTCACCTGTGCACCCTGCAGAGATCCTTCCATGGAGCTCCAGTACCACTTATACCACAGGGGGGGTCCTTACTCCCCTGCTGCTGGTGTTCCACTTCATGGTGGTTCATCTCCTCCACGCCTCATGATCCAAACTGACTGAGTTCAGACCCCCTCTCCCCATGCCGTGGTTCACTCCAGCGTTGCTGCAGCCTCACGCCGCTGCTCCTGTGCTGTTGAAAAATAGGTATAGGATAGTTAAAGGTAAATGTTCCTTCCTCCTTTTTCTGTTTAATGCGTTCAATAAAACCATGCACACGATTATAGTGCTCTTGTAAAAAATCCATTTAAAAAATGGTAGTGTTTTTTCCCTTTTTTTCCCTTTTCTTTTGATTATGGACAATGAAAAGCCCAGGGGCCTGTGCACAGTTCAAGTGTGACTGACGCCTCAGGGTCAAATACAGAGAAGTGTTTCCGACACAAACCTCTCAATCTGCGCTGAGCCGACATCAGTGTTTGTAAATATGCTGGAGATAATTGCATCTCGTGTTCGCTCAAAACCATGTCTTCAGCGTCACAGTGTGAGGCTGCACTCAGTAATAAGCACATACTCACTCTATAATTCTCCTGGACATTCAGTAAACTGAAATAATTGAAGGTGTCACTGATAACATTGACAAGGGAATCTCCAACAGACTGAAAATATAATATACATTTTAAGTTGTTGGTGATCATGAGGAAAGAATATTATTGTATTAGTATATGATAGTTGTGTTGTAGGAAGTCTAAAAAAGCAGTTTGTGTAGATAGATTTTCTTCACTTATATAAACAATATAATATTATTAAGACATGTTTCAAGAGTGTGCATTACCTTAAAATAAATACAGTAATACAGTATATTGAGACCTTAAAGCATTGGTGCAAAGGTGCTTTTGATGTTACATTCTCCAGTGATTCCTCCAAGAATCATTAAATATTCTTCTTAACTAATCATCCTCTAAGTTGGACAAAGACAACCTGCTGAGGCGTTTATCACAGGGATTATAGTGAGTCCAGAGGGGCCGAGGGCACATGTTCAATCTCACCTTAAACAAAGGAGAGCTTCTCCTGGGCAGAGGAGGCAGGACCCATGGCCACTGCACGACGCGTGTCATTAGTTATCTGCTGGAGGAATGTTCAATCAGTCTTTAAAAAAAAAAAAAAAAAGTTAAGTAAGTAAGTGGCAACAGTGAGTTCGATCCCCCCATGAGACTCCCGCTCATGTCTGCTGTCCTTATGCAGCAGCAGGAGCGAGTGCAAATGCCAGCGCAGAGCTGTAAGATATGCAAATAAAAGTTATACAAAGAAGCTTCCAAAAACATTACCAACATGACCCAACCAAAACAATATACACAGCACCATTGATTCACGAACTTTAAAATCCTGATGCTTGTTTACAAAGTGCCGCACGGTTTGGAACCTTCATATATTTGTGATTTACTTTAAGAAACTGTTTAAGAAACTACTTAAGATCCTCAGCCTTCTGTATCTGTACCTTGACACTGAAATCAGGAGAAGCAGCTTTCTCTCACTGTTAGGGTTGTCAAAAGTATAAAAAATGATATATTAAACAAAACTGAATCTATAGTATTGATACTTCGATCTAGCTCTCAGCCTCTTCCACATTTAGGCAAACACTATGGGTTATGTCAGCACTCGATAGGTCCACTCCTAATATACCTGTACAGTATTTATTTTGTTGTCCCTTTACATCATGTTACCTTTTGTGCAGGTCCTATGTTGTAAAAACCCTGTGTTTCTTCAAATAGTCGGTTGCCAAACACTAAGTGGACTTCACAGGGGCGTGTGAGTCAGAGTTCCCGGAGCGAGAGGCCATTGTGCCGGGGTTATCCAAAGTGACAGAGAGACAGGACAAGAGCTATCCCTGGGACAGGCCAGTCATTGCCGATGTCTCAACACTGTAGAATTACTGAAAAGATAAACACACTGGTCAGGATCAGAGTCTGGTGAACATTGTGTTTACAAGGTGAGTTTTCGGAACACTCTCACGTGGTTCTGAGCGCTCATTATCATTAAAGAGCCAACCTGAAAGTAACTTCTCAAACGCATAAGTAGTCTTGTCGATATTTGTTTATTATTCTTATTTTACACAAATTCAATAGCAGGGGCAATACTTGACATTAAATTCAAAACTACAGTGATTTTTTAAAAACAACAATCTTTAATTCAGTGTTCTAAACTCTTCTTGGAGCTACTATAATCATCACTGAGTTGTCTTGGCCTTTTACATCTGTATGCAACTGTGACCCTGGTCTGTGAGGGCGCTGTATTAATAATTCTTACTTACTCACTCACTTGCTTACAGTACTTTCTGGACGATCAAGCCGCATTTGAATATAAGCCACAGGTTTTTGTGTTTAAAGTAACACTTAACCAACAGGTGATGGAGCTAAACAAAGCAGATAGAACATGATTTAATGCACTGTTGACTGATTATCAAAAGGACTCTATTTTGACCATAAATGTGTATCACTACTAAAACGTGATCAACTTTTACTAACTCCATAAACCATGTTCTATCACGTCCTGTGTCTTTCCCTGCACTTCCTTGTGTCTCTGCTGTTCACATAAACATACAAGAAGATGGAATCCATGCCCGCTAACAAAATAAAATCCATGCCTTGAGCGAATCGCTATCAAGGCCGCAGTTCAAATAATTGCAAAAAAGTAGCGGCTTATAGTCACAGAACTGTCTTATTTTCAACTGTGGTCATTTCTAATCACTGTACAAGGTTTACTCTTCAGGAAACACTTTTTTTCTATCTACTGTGTGTCTCAAAGCTAGTTTTAGAATTACTCAATATCTGATGTTTTCCAAATGCACTAAAATCCTACTAGGACAAGAATCAGAAATTAGCATGATAAAACGTCTTATAAGTCAAAGTAAGACACTTATTTCCATGAGGCCATGAATCTTTCATACATGGTTTAACTCAAGGTCTTCTGATAAAACCTATGCACATGGAACAGGCCTCCCCACTGTTTCTCCTGGACTTATTTGATCATATGACATTCTGAAGGTGCCTTTCATGCCGTTGCTTTCATACCCGCCTCTACTTTGTAAATCTGTGAAACTAATGACACGAAGCAAGAAGACACTAAAAGCAAACAGAGGAGACAAAACTAGGCCAGACGGTAGATTAGGCTAAATAGTATTGCCTCAGACTAAGTGAATATGCATGAAGTGTTGCATATTGCAAGACATGTATTCTGAAAACAGGACAGATTATCTCAACTCCTGCTCGAATCCAACAGCGTGTTTTTGTTTCTCTCTGTTAATCCCATGCGTTTCTTCTGTATTGTTAGGTCTCGACTGGCGGACTACCACACAAACTGCCAGATGACACCTCACACTATCACCAGCTGTCCGCGTGACAACTACTACGGCTGCCTCATGTCTTATGTCGGACTCATTGGTAAGAGATGTGTACTCACTGCTGACATAAGTACCACCAATTGTTTTGAGATCATTGTTCAGTTCATGAAAAAGTACTTACATTTATAAATCGTCTGTATGTGACCATGTGTCTCAAGATTCAAGATTAAAGAATTGAAAACCACATTGGAATAACTGTGCAAGCTCTCTCGCTTCTCAGCAAGAAGGTCCTGTGTTTGAATCGTGGTCGGAACAGGGCCTTTCTGAGTGGCGTTTGCATGTTCTCCCTGTGTCTGTGTAGGTTTCCTCCGGGTGCTCCGGTTTCCCCTACCACTAAAAAAGCATGCCCAATAGGTCTGAATGTAACGAGTAAGTGAATGGATGGTGCTGGTTGGGGGCTTTGATGCGCCAGTGTATTCGGCGACTCGCTTCCCTTATCACCGCGTGGAGAGAATGCAAAACTGTCGGAACTCTGAACATTGTAAAACGCTTTGGCGACCTTGGTCTGTATAATGCGCTATATAAATAAACATTACTTACTTGCTTACAAGACTACCCCAGTGTGCAACAGATTTTTCATTACAGTACACACCAGCTCTCCTGCCACAGCGCCATTTTTCCGGTGTCGTCAGATTCAGAGTGCGTTCACACTTGTTGATTTGTTTCATTTAAACAGGACCTTTTATAGACACAGGACAAGACACTCTACATTTGTGAATAGAAAACTACTAAACAAGTGAACACATGTCTACCAGAAATGATAAGAAGAAGGCGCTGGGCTTGATTCCACCTGCGAACAGAGCTTTTCTGTGTGGAGTTTGGATGTTCTCCCTGTGTCTGCGTAGGTTTCCTCCAGGTGCTCCTCTTTCAAAACCCACAAATATGCGCAATTAATTGAATGTCAGTGAATGGATGGTGATGGTCGGAGGCTTTGATGTGCCCGTGTGTTTATCGTTACTCCACAAATATCGCAAAGCGCTTTGAGTGACCCTGGTCTATTAAATGCGCAATATAAATGAAGATTATTTACTTACTGACTACTCACCTGAGGCCGTTTACATCCTTGATCTGTGAAGCACTTTTTCCCCCAAGTGAGCCAGACTTACAGATGATTCAAACTCACTGTCATCACTGTAGGCCGGCAGACGAGTTTACTTGTACTGTATAGCACAGTTCATACACAAGGCCTCTCGACGTGCTTAACAAAACAACCATTCAAATAATAAATGATCAGAGTACACTAACTTGTTTGCACAGCTGAACAGAACCATTTCTAATCTGTACGAGTCAGAGGTGCTTAGATAGATACAAAATGTTCTTAGTTTAACAATTTGAACATTGTCAGAATATGGTCTGTTGCTTATTATTACAATGTTTAGGTTTTTAGAAGGAACTTTTTTTTATTTTTTTTTGCTGGACACCGGAATTTTTGATCTGGGGTATCAAAGTATTTATCAATCTATCTAGAAGCCGGTCTCACATTTTTAAGAAGAATTTTCCATAAATCTAAAATGCAGCCTCTTCATGCTTAGTCCTGACTCTGGGCACCAGCCGGAGTCCAGTCCCTGTGTTCCTCAGAGTCCGAGTTGGTTCAAAAGGCACTAACATGTCACTTTGATGCAAGGCCATGGAGAGACTTGTGCACAGGCAGAGCTGATTTAAAGTCTATTATCTGATCCACTGTACTTTAGTTCTATTTCAGTAAGATGTCTGAAGGTGTCTATGATGTACTCTGCTTGTACAAATAGAAAATTGTGCACCATATTGTTCATATTCTCAAAATGTGAGAATTTATACATAATCTCATTCAGTATTATAGGGTCGTATTCACAACTTCTGAAAAAAAAATACTTTTTGAGGAGTTAAATCAACTCCTCAAAAAGTTGCTTCTCTGGAAATTATCCAGTAATTCAATTTCATGAATTTCAGAAAATCCTCTTTACCTTTCTTCCTCTCTAATCTTTGTCCTAATTCCTTCCCCTCGCTCCTCCTCCTCTCCTCCCTTTCTCTCCTCATGTGTTGTGTTTGTGGAACAGGCTCCGATGTGACACCGAACTACAGCGACAGCAGTCCCTCGAACATCACCATGAGCCTGTGGTGCAGCTGCAGGGGCTCCGGGGCTCAGGAGGGAGTGTGCGAGGCCTTCCTCCGAGACTTCACTCACAACACCTGCCTCAGTGAGTCACGGCGGTGTGCACACTTTCAACAGCGACACAGATTTAACCACAAGAGCAGCTTTGCAAGTGCTTTAAAGCTGGGGAACCTAACTTAGAAACCACAATCATTAACTATGTCATCAAATCTATGTCACTATTTTCTCTCAAGACAACTTGGTTCAATCAGTAGTATTTTTGGCCTTTGTCACATCTATAGATTTGCTTTTTCAGAAAATAAGAGAGAACACGAGAGGGTTACATTTTTAATAAGATTTAAGAAACAAAAAAGATTTGTCTTATCACTAGCTTTAACGTTCTACTGCATCCAATAAAACCTTTTGCCATATGTCTTGTAGTATAAATATACAGTATACATATATATATATTTGCCTAATTCAAGCAGATACAGTACACTATCAGTATACTAAAGATAAAAACACATTTTATTTATTAATTCACTATACATTTCAAAGAAACCTCAAAGTGAGAAATCATCGTTGACTTGCCAAAGGGACAAGCAGCTTCAGTTTTATGACTAAAAAGCATATTCACTTTTTTCATTCAGGAAATACTGATATTTTTACTTTGTCCATTGGAAAACAACATACTCAAAACAAGAAAAATAAACAGTGAATGCAAATACTTATTCAGCCTATTTAAAGAGCAGTTCAATTGCAATCATGCAGACGTCAAGTGACAATGATCCGGTATCTTTGTATTGATTCTATGTAGGTTAAAAGTGGGACATTTATATACATCCATCCATTCATTTTCTTCCCCTTTGTTCATTTCTGGGTGAGGGGGCGGTAATCAGCTGCCACCCAGTTCACAGAGCACCAGCCGCTCACTGATCATCCTGCAGGTGGTGAGGCCACAGGAGGAGGGCGGCTCTGTCAGTGAGAGCACAGCCTTGATCTTTCAGTGGGGGCTCCAGGCAAAGTGGGGTTAGGTGTCTTGCCCAAGGACACAACGGCAGCAGACATCAGTGGGAGTCTGTGGAGAAGGTCTAATGAGGGGCTCAATCCCACAGGTTAATTTCATTCTCCATTTGAAGAAAAACCACACGTTCCAAAGTCCCCAGTGTGCACCAGACAAACAAGCAAAACAGTTTCAGGAAAAACATATTGTGTGTCACTGTGAAATTTAGACTTACAGTTTTTGATATTTGAAGATAAGGAAGTTCGCTGCGTTAGTGGCAACCCAACAACTGAATTACTTAACATTGATACGGTCTTCAAAATGACATAAAATATAATTGTTTTAAACTATAACAGTAAAAGTTTCATCATGATTGTGAGGACAAAACATAAAATCTGTATTTCCTGAATTCTCCCTGTGTGGTAATGCTCAAAACGTCAGTGAGGAGGAAAACTACCTTGGGCATTACATATGCAGTGACCTCACAGACGACCGGGATATACACAGACAGAGATGTAAACTGTATGGTCAATCTAACAAGCTGGTCAGAAAGTTTAACATGTGCTCTGTGAATGTTAAAACCTCCCTGTTCCAATCATTTTGTGCTCCTTTATACACAGCCCAACTGTGGCGGAGCTATAAGCAGGTCAGTCTGCAGAGGTTTACAGTAGCCTATAATGACTCAATGAAGATGCTGCTGAAGATCCCAGACACAGTAGTCCAGTTAGATGTTTGTTGAGTGCAGGGTGCGCTCCTTTCCTGCTGCCCTGTGTCACTGCTACTATTGGTTTATGTGTAGAGTCATGATGGTACCTGATGCTTCTATTGGTTTATGTGTAGAGTCATGATGGTACCTGATGCTTCTATTGGTTTATGTGTAGAGTCATGATGGTACCTAATGCTTCTATTGGTTTATGTGTAGAGTCATGATGGTACCAAATGCTTCTATTGGTTTATGTGTAGAGTCATGATGGTACCAAATGCTTCTATTGGTTTATGTGTAGAGTCATGATGGTACCAAATGCTTCTATTGGTTTATGTGTAGAGTCATGATGGTACCTAATGCTTCTATTGGTTTATGTGTAGAGTCATGATGGTACTATCGGTTGCCTCTCAGCAAGAAGGTCCAAGGTTCAAATCCCGGTTGTACCAGGGCCTTTCTGAGTGGAATTTGCATGTTCTCCCCGTGTCTGCGTAGTTTTCCTCCGGGTACTCCCGTTTCCCCTACCACTAAAAACATGCCCAATTGATCTAGCATAGGGCCTCCTGTACTGGCGCCCCTGCCCAAAAATAACAAAAATAAAATAACCTCTTTGAGACTCTGATCTGCAGTGAAAAGGCGGTATATAAATAAAGATTACTTACTTACTAATGCTACTATCAGTTTATGTGTAGAGTGGCGAGGGTACCTAATGCTATTTTGCACAGTCTCTGGTTTGTCCTTACATTAGCTCAGTCAGGTTCACTTCTATGCTTTGGAGTCACTGGCTTCTCTGTATGTGTGACTTGCTGTAAATATGTGAATATGTGATTACGATGTGTGTTTTTAACAATGTTCTTTTTAAACTTTTCTTTCATTATTTTTAGCTATGGATCCTGTGCTTGCATGTGAGTCCTTAATAAAGTCTAAATAAATGGGGACATTTGATATGGATTCTAAGCTTACTGATTCAAACACCAACAGCATTCACTTTGCTTTCTCACAGAAAAGTCTTTGCCAAATTGCTCATCTAAAACGCAACCAGTGTGAAAGAAGTTAAATAAAATATTGTCTAATTCTGTAAAAAAAACATGTATAAACTGAAGAAAAAGAACCCCTTAAATCTCTTGTCCGTTTTGTTGTGTTATTGAGTGCTGTCTGTGCCATCCTTTTGGACAGTGCGTGTTTATCCAGTGTTGTAGCTCGGAGCAGATGTATTAAAGGGATTATTAAGTTAACCTCATAGCCTCGATCCCCTACTGGCTGTTTTGCATTTCTTCCATTTTGATCCTCGCCCAGACTTTTATCTCTTGTTGCAGAAAATGCCATCCAAGCGTTTGGTTACGGCTCTGAGGGGGCGACACATCACTCCACCGAACTATCCTCCACCTTCTTACCCCCTGCCCAGCCGCCAATCATCGCTAAGCCCGCCCCCTCTTTCCACGGCAACGCCATCAAACCTCTAGACAGTGCCTGCATGTTCTCTACGTGTGCCAACCTGCAGGTAAGCAGAAAAAAAAATGCTTTTATTGACTCGCCTTATTCCGCCTTTCAGCTATAGCAGTGACATACAGCGTTCAACACATGGCAACAACTGTGGAGCTGTTTCCCACCTTCACACACATTAGTGCTTTTCTGCCACAAGCCAGAGAGCGCACATGCATCCATTATGTGGAGGGAGGAAGTGGAAGACTCAAGGTGAAAGGCCAGTGGAAATTGCCATCCATTATGTAGAGGAATTGATGCATGAATTATATAATACCGTATAATATGACTACTTTACCCCATCTATATTGTATAGTTTAACAATCTACATATAGTATAGCGATATGTTAGGGAAATAAGTTTTATTAATTTACCCCATAGGGAAATTCGTCTTCTGCTTTTGACCCGTCCAGCAATGCCACTCGGGCGTCTGTCAGGGGCAGTGGTCGAAGTAGTGCAGCGCCCAGGGACCCGTCTCCAGATGTTGATGCTCGGCTTGGTCAGGACTACAGCAGCAGGAAGACTTATTTCATTTTATAGCACATTCCAGACAAGAAACTGCAACTCAAAGCACTCAATTCAATGTATATGTATTCTTGTAGGCCCTAACAAGGACTGTTGAATTCGCAAACACAGATCAGAGAATCAAACAGAAAACACATTCCATAAGGGGCAGATGACCAATGCCCATAAGTGTTGATGTTGTTGAATGTTGAGTGTCCTGGATCATCACCACTGTCTCTTTAGTTTGACTCTAACAGACCCTCCTGTATCGGCAACAAAATACTCTAAACCCAGAGGGGAAAGCAGAACCCTGTAAGACCCAGCACAAAAAGCCTTTGTTACCCTAAAGCATTTTGTGCTGTATCTAGTTACAGGCTGAACAAGTGGGTGTTTAGCTTACTATTGAATGAGCTCAGGGCAGAGCATATTTAACACCATTGGGACTATTTCAGAGCATTCCATTTACAAGGAGCATAATTGTAGATTGTTCTCCCACCTCACATGGGGGACAGCAGGAAGGTTGCACACAGGTTCATAAAGCACAAGCAAAGTAGATACAGTACAGACCAAAAATTTGGACACCCTTTCTCATTCAATGAGTTTCCTTTCTTTTCATGACTATTGACTTTAGATTCACACCCAGACTGTGTAAGGGCTATTTGACCAATAAGGAGAGTGGTGGGGTGCTGGGCCAGATGACCCGGCCTCCACAGTCACTGGACCTGAACCCAATCCAGATGGTTTTGGGGTGAGCTGGACCACTTGTAGCACTTGGAGCACTTGTTGGCCCAAGTGCTAAGCATCTCTGTGAACTCCTTCAAGACTGATGAAGACCATTTCAACTTACTACCTCTTGAAGCTCATCAAGAGAATTCCAAGAGTGAGTGAAGCAGTAATGAGAGCAAAAGGTGCTACTTTAAAGAACCCAGAATATAAGACATATTTTCAGTTATTTCATACTTTTGTTTTTGTACGTACATAATTCCAAATGACTTAATTCATAGTTTTGATGCCTTCAGTGTGAATCTAAGATTGTCTTAGTCATGAAAATAAAAAACTTTGAATGAGAAGGTGTGTCCAAACTTTTGGTCTGTACTGTATATGTACTGTATATATGGGAAGGGCCAGACCTCCACAGATCTTGTAGAATATTTCTAGTCTGTGTGATGGTATATAACATGCAAGAATTAGCATAATATAATCTTCCTCCCTAGTGAAGTATTATAATTATTGTATTTTATGAAACCAGGCGGTTTCATATCTCTGTTTGATGAAAAAGAACAACTAAGAAATATGGGTGAATTTTTGATTACATTTTCAGTAAATCTTGGAAAAGGAACAAAGGAACCAATTATTGGATTGTGTAGGTTATCCAGATAATTGTCTGGATCTGGGAACCGTGGAAGGAGCCCTCTCTGGCGCAGAATGTTATATTTTTGTACGGCTCAAAGTAAAGTAAAGTATTCTATTCTATTCTATTCACATTGAGCTACTCTTGCACAGATATTCCAATGTGGTTTCACGGCTAATCCTGTACTGGCGACCCCGCTCCCATCTCTTTGTGGAGTGAGAGACAAATGCCCAAAAAATAACAATTGTAAACCGCTTTGTGACTCTGTTCTGTGAAAGGCGGTAATAATAAATTTATAATAATAATTATATTATAATATAATATATTATAATTATAATAATAATAAAGTTTACTTACTTACGTGTACTTTTCGAGATGTCTGTTCAATCAGAGACTTTTTACTTTTTAATAATTAATAGTTACCTAATGTAACTTAAGTTCTACGAATAGGTGCGTAGTCCCTTAGGACTTCGCTAGTGGGATATCACTCGTGACCCCCAGGTCACACGCCAGAGAGATCAAAATAATTTGCTCCAATCACCAGCCACCCTCCTCTATAAATGCCCCTGCACAAAGGCCGCACCCCCTCTTGAACTCTGCCAAGCCGGGCTGGCCTGATGGGCTCGTAGCTAAGGGACTACGCACCTATTCGTAGAACTTAAGTTACATTAGGTAACTATTAATTCTACGTCATGGTGCTACGTCCCTTAGCGGACTTCGCTAGTGGGACACAACGCGGAGGCCGTAGGAACATGTACTCCCAGCAGGCCAGCGAAGGGTGATTGGAGCTCCGCCCGAGCAAGACCCTCACACAGTGAGAGGACTCAGGGCAGAAGAAAACAAGCGTGTTACAGGGCCACTCCTACCAAGGATGCCCCCACGTAACACAGATCGTAGGTCAACGTAGTCCCAGGACGCCTCTCCCAAGAGCTCCTGACGTGGACTACCAGACCGACCAAAAACACATATATGTACCGCACCTGTAGGATGCCTCTCCCAAGAGCTCCTGAACCAGGGCGGAAAGAAACCGAAGGCCCCCTCAGAGGGGGGACCTAACGGTCTAACTCAGTCCGCTGCACTCAGCACGGAATGGGCCACCGACCGGTCCGACACATCCAAAAGATAAGACCGGACGAAAGAGGAGGACGACGCCCAAGAAGCCGCACGACAGACGTCCTCGACCGACGCCCCCCTGAGAAGGGCCGTAGAGGCCGCCATCCCACGCGTGGAATGCGCCCTGAACCCCACCGGGGGGGCCAGACCCTGCGACTGATACGGCCCAGACACACAAACAGCTGACCACCCAACCTGAATGACGACGTCATGGCCAGGTAATGCCTCAGCATTCTGACAGGACACAGAAGGTGCTGCCGCTCCTCCTCGGGGGAGGCATGCGGCGGCGGATAGAAAGCCCTAATCCTGATGACTCTCAACCTAAAGGCCGACGTGATGACCTTGGGGAGAAAAGCCGGATTGGGCCACAATTCCACCATGCCGTCGCCCTCTCCAAAAGACAGGCAAGACGCATGGACAGAGAGCGCACACAAATCGCCCGCCCTCTTAGCAGACGCCAACGCCAACAAGAGGGCCGTCTTAAAAGCGACACACTCGGGACTCACTTCCGCCGCCGGTTCAAAAGGCGGACCCGACAGCCCCCTAAGGACCACCCTGAGGTCCCAAACCGGGGGCGTCCTCTGGAGCGGGGGCCTCTTCCTGGCCTCTTCCTGCGCGCCCCCCGCAGAAAACGTTTAACCAACGGATGAGAGCGGGCTGTGAACCCCCCGAATCCGTCGTGACCCGAAGTAATGGCTGCCGCGAACACCGCCAAGGTGGCGACAGCCCTCTCCTTGTCAAAGAGCTCCTGTAGGAATCCCAGGACCCCCTCCAGCGGGCAACGCCTGGGATCCCAGGAACGGGAACCGCACCAGACACTGAAGAGCCTCCACCTCGTGGCGTAGGCCCTCACAGTGGACGGCGCCCTCGCCCCCTGAATGGTCTCCACCACCGCAGGGGGAAGACCCAGGTCTACGAGGTTCCGCCTCTCAGCCTCCAAACCCAGAGCCTGCGGCCGATTATCGGGCGTGAAAACAGGGCTCCTCCCCCCTGGACTAGAGCCCCCGGCTCGTCCGGGAGGGCCCAGAGCTCCATCACCGCCATGCCCCTCAGGAAGGGGAACCACCGGGCATGCGGACTGTCCGGAGCCACCAGGATCACCGACCTCCTCTCCTGTTCGATCCTCTGCAGCAGGACCGGCAGGAGACGCACCGGTGGGAAAGCGTACAGCAGGCCGCCTGGCCAGGGGTAATGAGCCAGAGCGTCCACGCCTAAGGGCGGCTCGTCCGCGGCCCTTAAGGCGAACCAGGACGGGCACTGTGCGTTCTCTGCACTGCCGAAAAGGTCGACCACTGGAAGGCCAAACCTCCGCCAGATCTCCGCAGCTACCCGCGGGGCCAGGCCCCACTCGTCCTGGAGTGGGCCCCCCCTGGACATCCTGTCGGCCCCCACGTTCCGGACCCCCGGGACGTGGCGCGCCCTGAGAGACAGGAGGTGAAGCGCCGCCCACAGCAGCGTCACCGTCGCCATGCGATGGAGAGCGGGGGACCTGTTCCCCCCTGCCTGTTCAGATAGGAGACCACTGTGGTGTTGTCTGAGCGCACCATCACGTGTCTCCCCTGCAGCTGAGGAGCAAAGTGCAGCAGTACTCTGTGCACTGCCTCCATCTCCAGCAGGTTGATGTGACGGGTTGAGTCCGACCAGCAGCCTCCTACAGAGCTCTGGCCGAGGACCCCGCCCCATCCTTCGAGCGACGCGTCCGTGAACACCTCCACGTGAGACACGGCGCAGGCCAGAGTCACTCCGTCCCGCAATAGACCCGGAGTGAGCCAGAACCTGATGTCCGATGCTGCCACTTGGGAACCCAGATCAGCCTCCCCCCGTCCCGGGAGGGGTGAAGCCTGAGGCGCGAGAACCACCTCTGAAAATTCCTCATGTGGAGAAGGCCTAGCCGCACCACAGCATGAGCCGCCGCCATCATTCCCAGCAGGGACCTGAGGCGCCGAGCGGGGACTCTGGGGCCCGCCAGAACCTCCCGGGCCAGACGGGTAATATTCATCCGTCTGTCCACGGACAATGCAGCACGGAATGTCACAGAGTCTAACTGCAGG